AAGCCAACAGCCTCACTGTAGCCTCATCTAGAGCACTGGCTGAGGAGCACACAGCCTCTGCGCCCTGTGCCCTGCTGATGCATGGTTCCACAGGGTCGCCAGGCATCTGCCCTGCCCCACCCAGGCTTTTGCTACAAAGTACCATCTTGAGACCTGCCCATCATGGGTTCTGTGGAGCAACCAGGCAGCTGTCCCCAAAGACTGGGCCAGCTTGGCTCTGCAAACTAGCTATGGGACCCTGCCACCCATTCACAGCACAGGAAGCAGCCTGCAGCCATTCTGAGTGGCTCAGGGTGCAGGGTACCCTGGGAAGCAGACAGGAGGTTGCCTTGGTCCACAGAGACCCCTGGGTAGCAGACAGGTGGCTCCACTCACCCACTCTTGACCCATATGAACAGCTGTCAGCCTTCCAGGAGAAACTTGATGTACAGTGAGACCTAGGAGGCAGTCAGGCAATGCCACCCACTCTCCATTCCACAGAAGTCATCAGTGATCTTCCCTGAGTTGCTGGGCTAACTGGGCCACCAGGATGCAGACAGGAAGCCTGCCCTGGGCAGGTCGCCCCCCTCCCCCAAGGCTCTACAAAGACGCCTCCACAGTTAAGGCCTATACATTAAAACCTGCCCAGGCCCACTAGTGTGGCCAGGCCCCCCCATGACTCTCATATACTCCCTTCTCTGCTGGTTACACATCAGGGACATGCATTTAACATTCCCAAAGCCAGGCCCGCTGTACATGGAACAGCGAACCTGTCTCACCTAATGGTTCATCCCAGGTCCTAGAGAAATCCCACAGAAACCTGTAGCCTAGGTCAGTGTGACACCCACTAACACGCCAACATTATTAAAGTTGATGAAGCAACTCCAGCACTAGACTACGGCACCCACCTCAAAACAAAGCGGATGTAGGCTGCTCAGACTCCACCCTAGGACAGAGCCGGGAGAAAGCCTCTACTGTGAAAGCCACCCTGCAAAATCAGCAGAGTAACTGACCTACTAGACATTAAAGGCCAATAGGGACACAGGGATATGAAAGGCAGGAGGATATGATGCCTGAAGAAACACTGTAGCTCTCTACCAGTAGATCAGAAAGACGAAGAAGGTGAGCAATTGTCTTTAAAAGAATTCAAAATAAAGGGGCTGGAAAGATGGCTCAGTGGCTAAGAACACTGGTTGTTCTTGCAGAAGACCCGAGTTCAAATCTCAGCACCCACATGGCAGCTAACAACTGTTACTAGCTCCAGTCCCAGGGGATCCGACAGCCTCTTCTGTCCTCCACAGGCATTGCATGACATGGGTGCACTTACCTACATGCAGGCAATACATGCATACACATAAATAAAAATTTTTTTTAAAGTTTAAAAAAAAAAAGAATTCAAAATAAGGGTCAGAAAGAAATCCAGTGAGATATGAGAGAACGCACACAGTACAATGAAACAAGAAACCACATACAATAATAATAATAATAATAATAGTAATAATAAACTTTTAAAGAGTAGCATGCTTTTGAATAATCAAAGTATCAATGAAGAAACCAAAAGAAATTTAAAATTTTCTTGAAACAAAATAGAAACACAACATATTGAACTTATAAGCAAAAACTGTACTAAGAGGAAAAGTTTAAGAAATAAGCATCTGCATCAAAAAAAATAAATAAATAAATAAAAATTCCAAATAAACAACTTTACCATACAGAGAAACAAGAGCAAATCAAAACTTAAAATTAGTAGATGAGGGGCTGGAGAGATGGTTGAGGGGTTAAGAGGGCCAGTTCATAAAATTGGGCGGGGGGAGGGTGGATCTAAATGCCATCAAACTACATTATATGAAAATTGCAAAAATTCAATTAAAATTTTTCCTGGAAAAAAAAAATAACAAAAAAGTAGAATACTTAAGAACAAACTTAACCAAGGAAATGAGTGACCTCTGCTTCAAAACCACAAAACACTGGAAAAGACACTGAAGAGGGGGGTTGAGAGTGGGACGCAGTGATGCAGGACCTGCCTGAGACCCTCAGCACCACCCAGAAGAAAGAGAAGAGGACACACACAAACACACACACACACACACACACACACACACAAAGACATCCCCTGCTCATGAAAGAATATTAAAATGTTCATTCTACTCAAAGTGAATCTACAGATTCAATGTAACTCCTAACAAATACCACTGACATTCTTTACAGAAATAGAAAAACAAACCAAAACACTGCTAAAATTTATATGGAACCACAGGAGACTTTCACTAGCCAAACCAACTGTGAACAAAGGAACAAAGTCTAGGGCACAGCAATACCTGACTTCAAACATACTGCAAAATTATTGGAACTAAACCAACATGGTATTGGCATAAAATAAATACATCAATGGAACAGAATGGGAAACCCCAAAATGAGTCTATGTATTTATAGCCAACAAAAGCAATAAAGGGATGCACTGGAAAAAAGACAGTGATCTGGCTAAGCAATGCCGGGAAAGTGGATGTCCATCTGCATGAATGGAACCAGAGCCATGGCTCTCAGCGCATACAAAAATCCACTCAACATGGATCAAAGACTTAAACGTAAGACCTGGAACTAAATTATTAGAATAAAACAAAGAGGAACCCTCTTTAATGTAGGTCTCAATGCAAGGAATTCTTAAATCCCCCTGAGCTGGGAGTGGTGGGGCACGCCTTTAATCCCAGCACTTGGGAGGCACAGGCAGGCAGATCTCTGAGTATGAGGCCAGCCTGGTCTACAAAGTGAGACCCTGTCGCAAAAAGACCAAAAAAAAAAAAAAAAAAAGATATAATCCCCCAAAACAGACATTTCAAAGCAGCATTTGACAAATGGGTTTGCATCAAACCTAAAAGCTTCTACACATGGGTGTAGTTGGAGAGATGGAATAATTGCTAATGTTCAACAGCACAGTAAGAAAACCATGATGAAAATGAATTGTATACTGAGTGATTATAGTGTGTAGAGATTTTAAAATGTTCCCAGAACAAAGGAGTGTTAAGTATGTGAGATGGTGGATATACCAATTACTTTGCTTTGTATGCATGTATCAAGTATCACACAGTAGTGTAAATGTATATACATATATATGTTCATATCTGTCAATTAAAAATCAAAAATGTAGGGGCTGGAGAAAAGGCTCAGTGGTTAAGAACACTGGGTGTTCTTGCAGAAGACCCGGGTTTGAACCCTAGCACCCACATGGCAGCTAACAACTGTCCTCTCCGTAACTCTAGTTCCAGGGGATCTGACAGCCTCTTCTGTCTTCTGCAGGCATTGCACGACATGGGTGCACTTACCTATATGCAGGCAATATATGCATTCACATAAATAAAATATTAAAAAAAAGAATTTATAAAAAAAAATCAAAAATATAGAGCTGGGTGGTGGCACATGCCTGGGAATCCTAACTTTCAGGAAACAGAGGCAGAAGGATTGCCAAAGTCGGCCTGAAATACACAGCAGTGCCCTGCCCCAAAAGAGATTCAGTTATAAAGTCCTTACTGTTTTAGGAAGCAAATTCAAGTTCAAATTTCATTGCTTTTTTCCTAAGTTTCAGAAAGATAATAATTTTGTATTCTTGGTCATAATATAAGGCTAAAGAGACTCCAAAATGCTTAGTTTGAAAGTGGTCATATTTTAAAAAATATTTTCAAAGAGATATATATACATATACATATATATATGTGCTATTGAGAATTATAAGCTTAACATTAATCAACAGCAACAGCAAGTCTCATCTTAAGATGTCCAGATACACTGATACATTGCTTTTGTTTACCGAGGCTCAAGCCAGACAAAATAGCTATGTTTAGAGCTGTTCCTTATTCTTTCTCTCTCTCTTGCTCTCTTTCACTCTCTCTTGTAAAAGTGGAGAAGCAAAGTATGGATGCTGGATTATATAAATGTCCATTTCCTGGCTGGAATTCTGTAGCCCAGTTATCTAAGATCCAGTAAATGGTGCTAGTATAGGGGACTCAGGTGTAGAGTCATATCCACTGGTGACCCCCATTATGTCATCCCGTAGGGTATTTGGGGACCCAGTGCATTGCCTCTTACAATGCCACATGAATTTACAATGATCACAAATAAGTTAAAAGAAACAAAAGGAAGAAAACTATATGGTATATTGTCATTTAGTGGATGTTCTTTGTTGGTGTGTGTTTTTGTTTGTGACACAGCGTCTCTCATTAAGTAGTCCTGGCTGGCCTAGAACTCACTACATAGACCAAGCTGACCTTGAGCTCACAAAGATCTGCCTGCTTCTACCTCCTGAGTGCTGGGATTAAAGTTGTGTGCCACCACACCTGGTGATTGCCACTTCGCTTTTAAAATATACGTGTACTGGGGCTGGAGAGATGGCTCAGTGGTTAAGAACACTGATTGTTGTTGCAGAAGACCCAGGTTTGAATCCCAGCACCCACATGGCAGCTAACAACTGTCTGTAAACTCCAGTTCCAGAGGATCCCACAGCGTCTTCTGTCCTCCACAGGCATTGCATGACCCAGATGCACTTGCCCAGATGCAGGCAATACATGCATACACATAAAATAAATAAAATGTTACATATATATATATATATATAATTTGTACTCGATCCCCAGCACTGCAAACCAAACCAAACCAAAATATATGTGCACTGTGTATCTACATACAGACGAAAAGGGTCGACTGCACATGGGTACACACAAGTCACAGATGAATACTATTTCTGTCAAGCTATGAAATCACAAACAGTGCTGGCTTCTGAAGAGAACTGGAGAGGCCATGATAGAACACTATTTACTGTTCCCGGAATGGGCTTCGTGGAGGCTCAGTTTTATACTATTAGCATTTCTCATTCTCAAAATGATTGTTGAAGACTGGGGACAAAACGGACATTTCGGATCTAAAGCAAACAAGGGTCAAACACAAAGCAGCTCCGCGAACTCAGGTCAGGAACCAGCGGCTGACCCACACACGTTGGCAGGTAGGAAAGCAAACATGAACGGTGGTCTTACGGCTGGAGATGCAGTAGCACAGTCTGCCATTGATCTTGCGGAAGAGTTGCTTGTTGATGGGCCAGAGGACCAGCGTGCAGAGCTGGATGGCGTTGACGATGAGCCCAGAGGCCATAAACACGTAGCAGAAGACCAGGTGACACAGAAACTGAGACTTGAACAGCCCTACGAGGTCCATGACGTGCAGGTGTTTCTCGGAAATAAGCAAACACTTGAAATGGAATATTTCCAGAAGGAAGAAATATCCAGGGCTCAGGAAAGTGTCTGAAAACACACACAAATGTTATGCATTAGCAAAAATATGGTGTGCTTTATAGTAGGAAAAAATGCTCTTAGAAGAAAAAACATGTATGCGTGAGGTTAAACACCTGGTACATGTGTTGATTTAGTTTTACTTAGCAGACACCGGTACAGAGCTTACTTCCAGCTGGGCACACACTAGGCCCTTGTAGCACAATCTTCCCTTTAACTCTCCAGCAGTCTCTGCAGTTGGTACCATTACTATAGGTGAGGAAATATCTAGGGAGGTGAAGCAACTGGACTGAGGTCACCCAGGTTCCCATCTAAGTGGTATCTAGGTGGCACAAAGCCACCCTGCTGTGGCCCCTGGGCCATGGTCCTCACATGCAGCTCCAGCTCAGGGCCTTCCCTCAGGCTGCATGGTCCCCACCTCCCCACCAGCCCCATTCTTGTTTCTCTTATGATGTCGACTCACTACTCCCCACAGGCTGGACTTCCCTGAACTACATCTTGGGTGGCATTAGAGGGTCACAGCTGGGCTTGGCTCTACCCTCAAGTACCCTATATTAGTTCCAATTTCCCACACTTGACATTCAATCTGCCAGTAAGTGATCTGCCATCCTCACCAGGATTGTCAGGCTCTTCATCTATTCCCAAGCACCTTAGGACCATCCTCTGTACATGATTGTAACCCCATTCTTTTTTAATGCTTGTAGAAGGATTTCACGCAGGTAGTCAAAGGCTGAAGTTTGCAGATCATCAGTAAACAAAAAGGACGAAAGCAAGGAAGGCACCCAGAGCACCCCAATAGTACCCCAGGTCCATGCACACCCCAACAGAAACCCACAGCACCCCACAAGTACCCCAGGTCCACGCACACCCCAACAAAACCCCACAGCACCCCACAGCACCTCAACAGCACCCCAGGTCCACGCACATCCCAACAGCACCCCACAGCACCCCAACAGCACCCCAGGTCCACGCACATCCCAACAGCACCCCACAGCACCCCAGGTCCACGTGCACCCCAACAGAAACCCACAGCACCCCACAAGTACCCCAGGTCCACGCACACCCCAACAGAACCCCACAGCACCCCACCAGCACCCCAGGTCCACGCACACCCTGGAAGAGCTGCAGCATCAGAAACAAACCCAGCCTGTACAGAGAGGCCAGACTCACAACACCATTAATCAGTCTTCAGATATGAAATAAAGAATAAAATGACTTCACAGTTTGGCAGACAGAGCCCTGGAGGAGAGGGTGGAGACAGTTTTTGTGAGCACTGATAAGCAGGCTCCCTTCTGGGAGCCAAGATGGTTGCCGATTACAACAAGCAGAACTCAAGCTTTAGGACCAACTTCCTCACAGTAGAAGTTGACAGATGCTAGGTTTGATACAATCTTTATTGAATCTAAAAAATAAATGACATTGTATAATAGTTTCATAATGTATTAGCTCATTCAAGACTCCCATGAATTCCACAGGTTGAGGTTTTTGTTTTATTTTGGTTCTTGAGACAGTATCTCATATAGGACTGGCTTTAAACTCACTATGTAGCCAAGAATGACCTTGGACTCCTGCTCCTCCTGTTTCCACTTCCTATACTGAGTTTATGCAGTACTGGGGATCAAACCTAGGGTTTCATATATGCTAGGCAAGCAGTTGAACAACTTTACATCCCCAGCCCTGAGTTGAGTATGAGGATTCCACTTTCCAGAGCAAGAAACAGAAGCCACTCCTAGGCCGGGGAGGTTTATCCGGTTACAGCAATTGATAGCTGATCTTGGTGCTCCGCCTTAACTCCAAGCTCCCTGTCTTGCACCTGTCCAGGCGTTTCTGCTTGTGGGCTGTGAGAGGGAGTCTTACAATTCTACTCTGCAGAGCAGCTCAGAAGTAACCCAGAGGGCAAAAGGCGGAATGGCCTGCAGCGAGGTTCCTAGCCACAAAATACCCTCAGAGTGGGAAGATAGGACTCACTCCTGGCTCTCCTGGGCTGGCTTGAAGATGCTCTCAGCAGTGAAGAAGGGCACAAGGTGTGTTGGCACTTGCTCAGGAGCGTGGGGAGGTCCGTGCAACCCTGCGCTATTTGTACAGCTTCCTGAGAGTGGAGATATGGACCAGCAGAGTCGGCCTGATCTCCCAGCAGTCAACTTTGCCTCCTCTGTGCTCTAGCTCTGCTAGGGCTCCGTGAAGGAAGGAGTCGTCACATCTCAGTCCTTCCCACACTTCACCCCCAGGCAATTGCTGCCTGTGAAACTCCCTCTATAGCTTCAACAAACCCCGTGTCTCTCTCCAAGGAACAAGCACAGGGCTGGCAGCTCATTCCCCTTGCATTGGACTTTGGTGGTCACATAACCAGGGTGACTTACACTGGAGACAGTATTATAATTTGATGTTGCGTGCTCATGAAATGGTTCCTTCATTAACCACAAATAACTTCAAGACAGCCTGGTCAGAAGCTTAATTCCTCCCTGGGTTCCAGGGGTCTAGTGTCTGTAAAACAACTGACAACTCCTTTGCTTTGCTGATTGGACACGCAGACAAGAAAGTCAGCTGGTATTTGCCATGAACGGGTTAAACATTGCCTTCCCTGGCACCCATTCAACGTTAGACTATGAGAAAGAAGAATTAAGTTTTCTTTTTCTGTAGTTAAATTTCAAGGACCATCATGCACTTGGGTAAACCTTCTCTACTGCCCCACTAACTGGGGTCTAACACAGTGTTGATGCTGTTAAAGGGGGTCACACAAGAGAAGTCAGACAGAGAGGCCTTAGTATCTTTGGCTTTTGTTAACTTCTAAATACGTCCTCATGTGTGTGAGTGTGCAGCAGTGTGGTGGTGAGCACAGACTTCGGGGTTAACAGTGTAGTGGGGGACACAGACTTCAGGGTTCACTTGGGAGCCTGGATTGAAAGCTCAGCTCTATCTGTGATCTGTGAAAAAGGGCTACCACATTTTAATCAAAATAGGGCTTTTGGTCTTGTGAAATCCAAGTCGATTTCCACAGCCTGGATGTGATTTGACCATCAAAGATTCTTGTTCTAGAAGCTTGGTCCTCAGTGTGGCAGTGCTTGGGTACTGGAACCTTTAAGAGGTGGGGTCTAGTGGAAGGTGGTTAGGTCACTAGGCCATTTCCCTTGGAAGAGATTAATTTGGATCTCATGCAGTGAGTCAGTTCTCACTCTCTGGTTTCCTATCTTGTTACAGCCACTGTCAAAGCCAAGTAGAAGTAGGCCATGTCTTCTGGAACCTCCAGATCTGTAAGCTAAATAAAAGTCTTCATGATACATTATCCAGCTTCTGGTATTTGGCTATAGCAACAGAAAATGGACTAATGCAAAGATTATCACTTATATGCCAAAGCAACAAAGTCAAAGAGTCACCAGAAGATGCTCTGGGTTGTTAAATCATTTCACTGACTTCAGTCTTAGGGTTGATAAGAGCGCTTGTGTGCACGAGAGAGAGAGAGGGGGGGCGTTTAGACAAGTATCCAGTGGGAAAAGGTATATGTCTTAAGTTTATGGTAGACAGAAGTTTAGGAGGCCTGGACTTCCCATCTTGGATAAAGAAGAATGTTCTTTCGTAACATGGCAATTAGCCAGTTTCATGTGAAGCTGAGAAAAGATGGAGTAAATATCTGAGCAGAGATGAAAATAGAGAGAAAACACTTTAAAATGCTTTAGCTAGTTTTCTCCCAGTCTAGAAGGACCTAGAACATTATGTGGAAAATCTTTCCAGCAAACCCTCTTTAGTAGTGCACTGTTATACGAGGCAAGGATATGGCAAAGAATTTTATCCTATTTATGAGAACATATGAGCAGTTTGTAAATCAACACGTTAACTATGAAGCTGCTGCCGTGTTCTATATGTGTGAATAAAGAGATGTGTGACCATCAAGGTGACAGGTGCTGAAATTCCTCAGTCTTGAATTCTTCATCTGTGAAATCAACATGAGGAAGTTGTGAGGAAGGGGACAGATAGATAGATGGTAGATAGATAGATGATTGATTGATGATAAATAGAAAGATATATGATAGATGATTGATTGATGATAAATAGAAAGAAGATAGATTGATAAATAGAAATAGATGATTGATAGATACATAGATAAATGACAGATACAAAGAGGATACAGAAAGATGATAGACAATAAATGGATAGAAAGATACGATTAATAAGTGATAGGATAGATTGATAGATCATAGATGATTATACATGATAGATTTATAGATGATAGATGATAGGTAAATGATAGGTGTGTGATTGATAAATGACAGATGATAGATGACAGATAATAGGTAATACATGATTAATAGATGGCAGATTTATGATTAATAGATGACTGAGAGATAGACAATAGAGATGATAGATGGATGGGTGGATGGATGGATGGATGATGGATGAATGGATGGATGATGGATGGATGAATAGATGGATGGATGGATGAATAGATGGATGGATGGATGGATGATGGATGGATGGATGGATGAATGGACAATGGATGGATGGATGGATAGATGGATGGATGGATGGGTGATAGATGGATGATGGATGAATGGATGGATGGATAGATGGATAGATGGATGGATGGATGGATGATGGATGGATGATGGATGATGGATGGATGGATAGATGGATGGATGGATGATGGATAGATGGATGGATGGATAGATGGATGAATGATGGATGGATGGATGATGGATGGATGGATGATGGATGGATGGATGATGGATGGATGGATGGATGGATGGATAATGGATAGATGGATGATAGATGGATAGATGATGGATAGATGGATAGATGGATGAATGGATAGATGAATGGATGGATGGATGGATAGGTGGATGAATGGATGGATGGATGGATGGATGATGGATGGATAGATGGATGGATGGATAGATGGATAGATGGATGGATGGATGGATGGATGGATGG